CAGAATAATCCTAAATGATTGCCGCCCCTTCTTCTCAAAACTGAATAGCTCCAAAAGCATTAATTCATCTTTGAAGACTGCAAAAATCTGCCTGACCTTGGAGCAAATGCCTCTGTACTGGATGGATGGGAAAGGTAAATTTAGTCCCCAAGTCTCTTTGCAGTTCTGACTCTTTTACCTTATTGCATGTTTCTGCCTTCCTTAAAGCTAATAATCTCAAAACAGCATAAGGGCATATGAAATTTAGAATGTAATTTGTAAATAGTTGCAATCATTATTAAATATGCTGAACAAAAAGTATTTAAATGGAACTCTTTCAGGTAGATCAGAGACCAACAGAGAACTGCAAACTTACACAGCCAGCTGGCCGTGCTTGCCAGGAAGGAAAAACAGCGACTGAGAAGTATTTTTCAGACAGCATCCTCATTACAAAATTCTATGTGAAGACCTTGGAGATAGATCTCTTTTGGCTGCTTTTTACCTATGTTCATTTTGGCTATGTGAGCAGGAGGGAAATCTCAAGGAACAAGGAGCCACCTCAGCACCCATTGTACAGGGGCACAGTCTTGTTTCAGGATCTTAGTCTAGTTTTACACCATTTATAGTATCACTCTGTTTATAATTCCACTGGCAATATTGCAGGATGAAATAAAGAATTAACTGGGATTATTCCTGATTTATACCAGACGATGTCAGAGCAAGCTCTCTAACTGCTTATTATAATGCACGCTAATTGTAATTTTTTAATACTACTTAATGCTCTGAAATCTTTGTTTGCAGGGACTGACACAGACCAAAGCTATAGGGTGATAAGTACTTTCCATAGACAAAGTCCTTAACAAACTTCTGAAACCTCTCCAGCTTTGGCAGGGTGTCCAGCTTGTTTGGAGAAGAGTCCTTTTTTTACATTGTTTTTATTTTTGGCTGTTTGCTTTGGTAATTTCAAGTCTTCTTTAATATTAATTTATTAGTAATATTAACATTATTAATCATATCACTATTATTATATTAGCAATTTTTCTTTTCAGTCTTCATGTCTGGGTTTCCTCTGCTGATCAGAAGGCATCTGTAATGTGAAGTGAGGTTCTGCCCAGCATCAATACTTCCAGGTAAAAATAAAAGCTGGTGACATCTGTTCATCACTACCTGCTGTGTGCTAAACGCCTTTCTGACCTTACTGGGCAAACACTCATTTTTATTGCGCTCCTTCTGGAGTCATTGACTGACCAATTTTGTGAGAGCTAAGCAGCATCCTGCTTAGTATCTATACTGTCTTCAGTTGGGTTCTCAGTGCTGTACAGCTCAGGCTGTACCCCCTTTGAAGAATAAGGATTAAGACAACTTCTAGTAGTTTGCTCTGAACATATTAGCATTTTTATTACACAAATGAAGTGGTTATTTTGGTTTGTTTTGGTTTGGGGTTTTTTTTGCTACAGAAGGGTTTCACTAACACTGAGTCAATATAATGTACACTCATTTTTAGAATTAGATGAGATAAAATGGAAGGTCTGGGTCACAGAAAGTCCTAAGAAGGGCTTGATAACAGCACTTCAAAGGGAGAAAAGTTTTCTCTTCGGAAGGGGAAATTTTTAAAATATGTCTGACCTTTAAGTATCTTCGAACAATATTACTATGCATAATCTGTCATTCTTTACCCTTTATGCTTCCGACGGGATATTTTTTGACAGAATGTATCCCTTTTTCAGTGCAATCTACATTTTCAAAGTTCAGTGGCACATTAACATTTACAGAAAGTTTAATCCAAGTTTGAATGCCAGAATCACTGTGGGATTAATTAATTAATATTTTGAAAGCACTTGGTAGAAGAAAAGTGCAAAAGAAAAATATGCTTTCCTATTTCTGATGAAAATTAAATTTCCATTGTGCAGATTTTCAATTTAACTTAGTGCCAAAAGGTCCCAATACAGGACTCAGTTTAGTCCTGTTTTTGCATTCAGACTTTGTTCAGTAGAGTGCTCAAACACATCTGTAGGCTGTCCTGAGTTAGGACTATACTAGGCAAAGAGAACAGCATGCAGAAATTCTCCTCCTGGACCAGTAAAGCCAATAGCTAAAGAACAAGAGATATTGAACTTTCATTATGAAACTTTCATAAATGCATTGTCTTGTCGCTTAGTACCCCGCTACTGATTGAAGAATGGAACCAAGTCATCTCTGAGGCTCTTTCCACACAGTCCTCCAGGACAGGACAGGCCAAGCAAGAAAACACAGGTTGGGTTTATCAAACAGCAGCAGATTCTCACTGGCGGGACCCCATAATGGAGCATGACTCCAGAAGACATTAGACTGAGTTTAGCCCTGGTACTCGGATCAGTTAAGAAATACAATCTTATTTGGTTTGGTTTGGTTTGGTTTGGTTTGGTTTGGTTTGGTATGGTTTGATTTAGTTTTCACCCCAAAAGATTCAGCCATTAGTTTATGAATAAACTTTTCATTTGATAGTACGTTTTTCAATTCTGTTGCACAATGAGTCAGATCTGGACTAAATCAAAAGCATGGAATTAAGATTTGCAGTATCTTAATGTGAGAGCCTAAAGAAAGACTATGTCCCACATAATCACTGCAGACAGCTCTGAAAGCCTTCAGAAGGCAATTTAGACCTATTAACTAAGTAGCTACCTGTCTTTGCTGACTGTGTGGTAAATTCAGCTTCCCACTGCTGATACAGAGCCAAGGAAGCCCTCCAAAGCAGTCAGAAGCAAATGTCATCTCCAAATGAAGATACTCACCCAAGATAAGGGTGGTCCAAGATCTGAGATGTTGTTTTCTAGGAAATGGTTGTGCATTACTAGTAAAAATAAAGTCATGGTCCTGGGAACAAGTTCCTTCAGGTTTGCTCCTTCCTAAGTGGGTGAGCTTGCTATAGGTGCAGTCAGCCAGCCTCCTGTGTCCTGTGCTGTCACCCTGCTGCAGTAGAAGAGGAGCAGAGGGCATTAAGGATGAGGTTATTATGAAAAAGGGAGGTACCGTGACAACATTCTGGGTTGAAATCAGTGCAGTGCTATGAAGTTAAGGTGTCTAAGTTCTCTATGCTCCCTGGGAAGTCATGTGGAATTTATATAAGGGGGGGATTTAGTCACCCTAGTTCTGGATATTTTTAAGCAAATACATGTATTAACTTCATGGGTATCTCAGACACCAGGGTTAAATGAGTGAGTTCCTTATGTTCCTGGAGAGCTAGCTGGTGCTATTAAATAGGATTGTGTTGGAGAGCTCCCAAAACAAGGTAATGCTTTTGGAATTTTCTAGGAAGGTACAAACTCATGTTTTGAATTTGGTGTTTGGTACATCTGCATTACCATTCAGGCTAGTTATTGTTTATCCTGCTTCATCCCCACTATAAGTTTGATTCTTCCATGTCTTCCTTTTGGTACAATAATAGTTCTTACTGTCTGATTAAGTTGCATGAAATAATCTTCTCTGAGGTGGAGCACATAATTTTCTGATGAATTTTGTACTAATGAGAAGGAAATGAAGAGAAGGAGCATTGAAACACATGGCTAAAAGTTTTGATAGTGGACGTGCCAAATGGTAGAAACACAGGGGATAATCAGTTCCATAATATCAAGTGGATAAGCACTAAATGAAACTCAAAAGCTGTTCTATTGGCCAAATAGGCATTACATGTGCTTCTGTCTCCAGAGTAAAAGAAGCTTTCTGCATGAAATAAACTAAGTTAGAGGAAAGTTAGTAAGAAAAAAAATACCTGGAAGGAACGACAGTCCCATTTTTTCCTTGGCTAGTTTGGATGGGCTGATGAAAATTTCTTCTCAAAGCCCTGATGATGGCAGGGAGGGACCAACCTGCATTAGGGAAGGGAACAAAGCCCTCAAAGTGAGGATTAACAGAACAGAAATGTATACTCTTTGTGTTTAAAGCTCTTGTCCTAAATAGTTGTCCTTTGCCTTTGGTGTCTGGTTTGTTAGCTCTATGAGAGCAGAGGACCAACACCTACACCATATTTACTAGGGGATAATGGACAGGAGGAACCATAAGTGCCCAAGATCAGGAGAAGAGCACAGGATCCATCCCAGAGGGGTCAGAGCTGGAGGAGATACACTTGTGCTGAGTGGCTTCAGAAAGCTTTAGAAGGAAGATATTGCTGTTTCCATTTTAACTTGACTTGTGAAAAGAGCTCTTGAATCTATTGAATGAAGCATAAAAAGATGTGGTGACTGGAAACTGAAATTCAGGCTATAAATAAAGTGCTTTTTTTCAGAGGGAGGGTAGCCGTTGATCACACAGGTCCCTGATATGCCTGGTGCAGTCTCCACCACTGATGCAACGGTCTGTTGGGAAGCTGTGAAGTGAATTCAGAGAAGGTCTCTCTTCTGCAGGGTGTCACACTAAATAATTTGTTCTTTTATTAGCTAGAACTTCAATTTCCATTTCCCAAAATCTTGACAAGAGATTGTTAGTAATGCCTCCCTCAGGTCTCCTCTTTGCAATTTCCTTCCGTTGCTGTTCACAAACCATTTGAAGAGTCGCCTGGACGATAAACTCTGTGGTGGAGGCTTTTGAATATTCCCTCAGAGGTTTTTTAATCTTTCTCTGTATAAATCTCAGTATTTTTTTTTTATAAAATGACTGTCCTAGATTCTTAATTACCTTGGAATTCCTCAGCATTTACTTTTAAGTTCCAGGCAGTTCATAAGTGTTCAGTATTAGAAAGTGTTTCATCCTTCAATATCTGGCAACAAAAACGAGCTACTAGAGAAACTTTCAGTTTAGCTTTTGACTTTCTTTTCCTTCTCTTTAGTCACTACCTCTAAGGAACTCTTCCAGAAAATATGTTTCTTACTGCAGTAATAAAAGAAGTAAAACACTGCTGCAACTTAATAGTTGCCAATAAGGAATGAGTGTTTCAATGTGTTCTTCACACTCTGGTATGGTTCTTAACCTTTAGAAAAATCAACCTACCTGCAATTATGCATAGCAAATCATATAAGCCTGAAGGACTAGACTAATAACTTGCCTACCAAGGATCTCCAAAGGGATCTGTATTCTTGCTCTCAGTCTCTGATGCGGTACATTAAGAACTGAATTCCTTACAGCTATCAGTCCACCATTAGGTTTTCATTCATGCTGGTAATCTCCCTGAAATAGAAAATGTGAAAGTTAAAAAAAAGAGGGAGAAAGAAAGACTAAATCTTTTATGACATAGTAAGTAAGCATGACTACTGCAGTTTTTACCAGTGCCTCATGCATTGCAATGCATTGAAATAACCACTAAAAACTGAGTTTATCAGAAGACACTGCATAAAATTAATAAAGAAGAGACTCAAGAGCTTGTGAAGATATTCTTTCAAGAGGATGTTTGGGGAACTGAGTTTGAAATTTGTGGCTACATTTTGCATTTGCATTTATGATATAAATATATTGTCAACTTAGTGCTTCTGGATTTTTTTGTCCATCAAAGCTAAATTTAAGCATTCTGCTTGTTGAAATAACAGTAGCATCTTATATGCAGTGCAAGATGCCAGAACTGGAGCCTTTTGCAGACTGCACATGCTGAACCTCACTATGGCCTGTTCACACCATTGCAATACAGTGGATTACACAGGAGAAACTGCCTTGCTACCCAGCCTGCCAGTGGCTAAATTCCTTTGCAAAAGGAGTTATCTGTAGTTCTATTAAAAAAACCCACAAACAGTTCTAACAAAAAACATGAGTATGACAAAGATTTCCCTAGTTTAGGTCTTCAATTTTTTTTTTTTTTTTAATTTTTGAATATTGCATACAAAAGAATAGAAGGGAAAGAATTCATTATAAACAATATTTGAGATTGTCAGACTAAAAAATATATCATACAGGATAAGTCTATATGTTATTTGTCAATCATGTTGTGATTCTCCAAGCTGCAGCTAAAATGGCTGGCTTGGAGGTTGTCTTGTGGATTTTGAAAGACAAAGCAGATTATCAACTCAGCAGAAAAAATCTTTTTCAAGGGAGGAAAAACACTGTGTTTGTTTAGAGTTAAGCAAAGCAGAAACATCCATCCTTACTTCTGAGACAGCTTAGATTTACTTGTGAAAGGTACATTTTGAGAAAAATAAGAACAAGCAGAATGTGAATAGACTAAATATTCAGGTATTTCTGACCAAGAAGAAAAGCTGGTTAACCTATGCCTTCATCTCACTTCCTATCTGCTCTCATAGGATCAGACTGCAACCATCTTTGGAAGTTGCCAAGGACAAGCATTCTGTCAGGTTTTGATAAAATAAGAGAAGATTGAGATGAAGCCGTCTGACACATAGCATATATCACTATATTTCTTCTGAGTCACATTGGACATCTTCAGATCTGCAAAAGAAGACTGTGCAAGAATATTCACACCTGAAAATATGAAACAATTATTTATTGGCAAACAAACACAAAAAATATCTGGGATTCAAGAACCCTGGTGATACTCACCATTCCACAAGGCATCCCAGAACCTTTGCTGGTAGGGCAGGAGTTGAAGGGTTGGCCTCTACAGCTGCTGGGCTCAGTCCTCAACAGTGCTGCCTTGCCATCTCTCATTGACACAAAACCTCTCAACACTGATGACCAGGCATTTCAGTACAGTGATCCAGCTGGACAAGTCCCGTGATCGAGGGAGGTTGCAAAGGGGCATACAGAGGGAGGGGTTACCTAGGGAGCGTGGAATAGCAGTGAGATGGCTACAGAACTGCGGTCCTCAGCTCCTCTCCCTGTTCTTTTCTCTGGATAAATTCACATGTAGCATACCTTGCAGAGGCAACTCTTTGAACTTTACTATTACATTATTAAAATTCATGTTTTCTGGTTATGACATAACTGCGGTATTATAGCAAGCATTAAAATGTTTATTTAAATGTAACAATCCTTGCAGTATCTGGTTTCCCAAACTATGAGATCAGAAGCATACCGAACCTGAAAAACAGAGCAGGAGAAGTGTTAGAGTTATATATAACCATATCAGTTCTGATAACGGGAGGCAAACCTCCTTCCCCTCACTAGATTGGTTGCACTTTCATACTCTTCAGACATTTTATGAAGAGGTGGAGCTCTCACTTGCTCTCACTTGGGACCCAACAGTAAAAAACATAGCCTCCTACAAAGTGCTACATTCCATTACCAGAGCTTTTCCCACTGTAGCTCCCTAAGACACCATATTGTGGTAGTTGGTACATCAAATGAGGCTGCCAGAAATTAGTCTCAAATCAAAAAAGAGACTCTTCTTGCAGGTGGTGTTGCAGATGAGGGGCAGAATTCCTCACCACAAGTCATGGATGGTAAAATCTTACATGGCTTCAAGGAGAGGCTTGAGAATTTCACAGAAGAGAAATGCACCAGGAGTTGCTAATTTCATGGAAACAACTCCCAGTTCAGGAGGTGCCTGAAGGGCAGATGGTAATGGGTTAGGAGAATCATCAGAAAAATACCATATGTATTTGTTCTAATCCCATACAGTGCCCCAAGCTTTTTGACCACTACTGGAAAGCAGATGATTTGACCCACTGTAGATATTCTTATGTAAGATAAGCAAAAACATGTGTACATGTACATGTGATTAATGGCAAAATGTGAATTGTATGGTTACATATGCTCTACTTTTCTTTCACATGAACTTTTTAAAAATGGTAGAATAAATTAGACTCCAAAGGAAACATTTATACAAAGCATAGAATAGGAGGTGTAGACCATTAAGATGTTCAAGTTTTTGGTCTCTGTGCCTATTGTCAAGATTTGAAATGGCTTTTTCTACACCTTTTTATGCCAGGCCAGCACTGTAGTCTCTCTTTGTGCTCTTATTAAAGTCAGCTTCTTCTTTAATTGTAGATAAAGTTGATGCCCAATCTGATTCAGTTCAAGCAGCACAGATAAAAGCTGTCAAAAGTCTCAGATCTGGGCCTGTCATTCTGAGGCAGCTCTGATGTGGTTTTTTATTGCCTCTACCCCCTGCAAACTTCAGAGGCACAGGGAAATAGCATGCTGCTGCTTGGCTCTGCCAGTCTGGCTCCTAAAATCTGACCTTGACAGGGAGAGAAAAGGAAAACTAAAAACTATGCCAGTCACCAACACTGGGACAAATTGAATCAAAAGACAAAGATGTAAGTGAATACAGTGCATATGAACTTGGCAGCAGAACTCAAATCTAAAAAAAGGTGGGGGCCAAAAGTTGACAAAACCCATTAAAACAGCAATTCTAAGACAGGTACCCCTGCTGTGTATGCGGCATGTGATGAAGAGGTATATAAAAATCCTGTGAACAGTCCTCAGATGTCTGTCAAAAAATGAATCTTCCAATGGTGAAAAAGAAATTGCTTAAAAATAGATTTAGGTAAAGAAAATAATGAAATGTTTGGAAATTTATTTAATGAGACAGTTTCTGAAGTACAGCACAAAACAAAGATTATATAAAGGATGTCAAGATAATAAATTGTACTCAAATTCTTCTCACACTTCTGAGTCATTTAGCCTGCTGTCCTTTAGAGCTGTCACTTGAACAAAAGCAACTGAAATTAACTAATTTGGTAACTTATCTCATTTGTCTTTCTTTGGAAAGCATTCCTTTTCTCCATAAGTCTCTAACAGCAGGCTAAAAGGAGAGACAAGTATAAGTGAAAATGCAACAAGAAAGACAACTAGGTTTTTTCCATGAGCTGAAACTTTGAGAAGTCTGTTCCAGGCACAGTTGTTGTGTACACCACATATATTTGATATTCCACTCATAATTTAGAGGAAAGTCATGGAAATTATTTCTCTTATGGGAGAATCCAATTTGAGAATCCAACAACACAACTACAACACAACAAGAATATAGCACAACAATGTTATGAAAGAATGCCCAAACTGACCTGGCTACCAGAAGTCATCCAGCTGCCTTAAAATGACTCCTCCTTGAAGCATCACTGACAAACTGAGGAGCAAGTTGTTTCATCTTTGGGTGCCTCCACCCCCTGTGCACAAATAATGCAATTATTTGCTGACCTCTGACCACTGAGTCTGGAAATGTGTTGAGGCTGTCAGTACTCTCTTACTGTGTGCACAATGACATTGAAGTCTCAGCAGGAGGCTCCTAGTGCTATATAACACAAACAGATTATAATAATAGCTAACATGTCTAATGAGTGATTGCTTCACAGGCATAGGGAGCCTGCCAGGCTCATCCATCCCTGTGTGCCTGTCTGAATAGATGTGTGCCTATTAACTCATCCATCAGATTATCTTTTCCTTACATTCTTGAAGAACCGATGATTGTATCTCATTTTTTAAATACTTATTTGCTGTTCTTTTCTTAGCAATCGCCTGGATTAGGACAGACACTTAAAAGGAATTTAGTAGGCTTCCTTCATTACCCAACCTGGGTACACTCATGCTTCCAGCATTCTGAAAAAGTTTAACAGATTGAGGCATGTATGAAAGTTGCATGAAAACCTGAACTTCAGTAGGATTTTCAGAGCAGATGTCATTGTGTCAAACTCTCCAACAGACAAGTAGACCTGGAGCTCAACACAATAGATTTACTTTAGAATAGAACTGAAAACGGGATTGTATGTGGGGCAAATATCTAGCATCTGGACTAAGGTGCTCTGAAATGTAGTATACACTAAACCAATCAAAATGAGATTAGTGGAGATTTTAAGAACTCACAGAAATATATAGAGGATTATTTGACAACACTATCATCCACAGAAAGGGCTAGGGAAAACTAAGCAACAATATTTTCAAACAGTGTTGCCATAACTCAGTGTTTTAACATGAAACAAGAAATGTAAAGATTTAGCTTTGGCAGTCAGGCTATTCTGAGGCATCTCCACTGTCTTTCCCTCTGTCTCTCGCTTTTCAGCAGTTCTGAATGTTTCACATTTTCCATAAGGCTGTGGAGAAAAATCATTGGATTATAATTCTCAAATTATTGATTTATTATTATTTATTAATCTCTTCAGTTTAAATAGAAGCTGACAAATTTTCTGAACCAGGATCATAATTTTTGAATACTTAGAAACTTTCCCATGAAGCTGACCTTTTTTATAATTTTGACAGAAACCATAGAGCTCTGGAGTACAGCTGAAGTGTACTAAACCGCTCAAGTCTGTTTGCACACAAACAGTTAAAACTTGCTAAGAAAAAAAAAGAAAGTCAAAACAGAGAACAAGGGGAGAGCTAGTATGAACACAGATAGATTAACATACATGTCAATATATATATGGGATTCTCCCATTTTATTATTATGGACAGTAGTGCAAAATTAGATACCCAAAGCAGTAAAAAAAAAAAAAAAAAAGTTGATTTGCTGAAAAATTAGGTAATACAAAAAAGAAAAACTATCTTTTAGGGAAGAATTAATTTTCCCTAATTTAAACCATTTAAAACTTTAACTGTTTAAACTTTAAGCATCTTGTTTCATTATTCTAGTTTCCTGTTAGTTGGTGGAAAGAAATATATTACAGCCTTATTTCATCTCACATATCTTGAACAATGCTTTGGGTTGATTACTTTGAGAAGCTCTGGTCTCTCTTTTCACTGTAAGGGAATTTGAACAGTCTGCCTTATACTAGGCATACATACTTTGGACAATTAATATTAGTTGAGATGAACTTCACTCTCACAGGAGGGAAATTATAGAAAAAAACCCACCAATACAGTTTTAAGAATAATGAAAATAAGAAAGACAAGTCAAAGATATAAAATTATATAAAACCTTTTTTCTTTTTTACAATTTTTAAATGGTATTTGAAGACTTTTAGAAAGCCTGTGTTTTAACATCCTAGTAATGTAGACAGGCTTTTTCTCTGAAGAATTTCTAGAATGTCAGCTTTTCTCTCTTGCATGTGGTGAATTTAGGCATTTTTAGGATAACTGATTCATTAAAATTTGGAAGTCCAAGTCAGGTGTTTAAGTTTGAAGGATGAATTAGATTGCACAGCTTTGAAACAAATTTTGAAGAAAAAAATTATGAAACACACAGTAATACATAAACTTAAATTATGTCAAGCAATTCTGAATTTTCTTTAAAAGATAAAATTATTTCTTAAATTAAATATAGAAGGCATTTTACGTTAAGAATATCACAGTGTGACTGAAGAACAAGAGAGCTAATTGTAATGTGGGTAATATATTAGTGTAACTAACTGAGGGTAGGAGGAGAATCGCTCAAAGACGAAATGAAAATGGTGTTCTCCAGAGGATAAGTCACCAGAGAAAGGCAACAGTGAGGATCCTAAAAAATTGCTCGTAAGAGTAATTTATTAATATTTTCATTAATTTTCTTTGCGCAAAACCAAGTCTGTGATGACAAAACTTTCTTCTAGAATGACTTTGTCAATAAGTAGTCAGGTCAGGAAGAACAGTATGATGTTGGGGACTGCAGTGGTGAAAATGGGATTAAATTTAATGGTGTATAAAATGGAAGACTGTGTGCTTAAGGACTCATAAGAAGATTTCTGCAGTAATAAAGAATTCATCAGCTGAAGCTGAATGAGGCATAGAAATGGTGTTATGTGAGCACAGGTATCTTCTGAGATACCACAGAGAAGTGGGGGAAGAAAAAAGTAAAGGTATTCCTAAGACATTTTGGGAGAGGTACTTCCAGCAGAGGCTACTCGCC